AAATCAGTAACAGAGTAGCTCTGTGGAAGAGCTGAGAAACGCTGGGGTAAAGGTGATACGGTGTAATTGGACTTCAGCAAAGTCATTTAACGAAGGCTCTAAGAAATGCTAAGATGTTAGATGTTAATTCTTGTTTTAGAAATGCTTAAAAATTGGAAAGAAAGCTTAGAAATACATAGTCGTTTTTCTTCATAATATTCCCAGAGAACCTGCAAATAGGTATATTTACGAACACATTGAATACTACGATCTGGAATGAGTGAGAGTAAGAAGATGACAAAGTTTTCAAACAACACACAGTTTTTCAGGGTGGTTAAGGCTAAAAAAAATTCAAGATATAACTCTGCTCAACAGCAATGAAAGAGCAAAGAGACTGTTAAAATTAGGAGGAAAAACCCGAGAAGTCGTAATTGTGATAGTAATTTATATGACACAGATTCTATACAGACTACATTAATCAACTCCTCACCTCAGAAATGAAAATCTGAAAGGGAACACAACTGTGTAACAGCAGGTATGGCACAGAAGAGGGGAACTGGTATGACTGTACTATCTTTATCAGAGTATGACATTAATGGAGTAGCAGTTAGAACAAAAAAACAACCTTAAAAAGCAATGAGACAAGTGAAAATACTGATGAATTTCTACAGCTATGTAAATCATTGCTTCAAGATGTTAAAAGTCGGATGTATCAACTGGCTTAGAACAGGATCTGAAACCAGACAGCACTGTCATGTAGGAAACATCTTCCCCTCTCCCCCAGTTTATTAAACTCTACCTCAAACCATGAATTTTCTTACTTTTACCTTACCAATTCTCTCCCCAGCCCACTGTTAGGGGAGTAAACAAGCAGCTGTGTGGGGCTTTGCTGCCTGCTAGGATTAAACCACAACAACCCATTTTACATCTAACATGGCGCTCAAAGGGCTCACAATAACGACAGATTTGACCACAGTATGTACAAGGGAGCTGGAGAGAGCATCAGAAGCAGCAGCCTGTTCTGCAGCAGAGCAGCCACAAGAACAGGAAGGGGAGAGACAAATCATAAACAGGTTTGCACACTTTTACCCCCCCCGATTCTCCTCCCACTGAGGGGGACTGAGTGAGTGGCTGAAGGGCTTACCTGTCTACTAGGGTTAAACCACAACATCAACTTTTATTTTCACACTGAAATTAACTGTAATTATGGCTTTAACCTGAAGATTAACATTTTTCAACGGGGCAGAAAAGCTTTTTGTTGTGTTTTGTTTTTTCTGGTTTTTTTTTTTTTGGATAACATAAGAAAATTTAGTTGAACAATTTCCCTCACAACATCAATGAAACCACAAAAGAGGAGTGCAACTTACATCACTGATAAACAAGTGAGAGTCATATTAGACCTGGAGATAGAAAGTTCCCATATGGATGCTTTAATTTAATGCTGTCTTTGAAACCATATACAGAATCAGGGTGGAGAGGAGGGAGTTGTGTTGCACAATACGAAGTAAGTATATGGAGAAAAAGAACCCACTGATAATGTTTTACCAATCAAAATATTTTCAACTTAATCTCTGTAGCACTGAGAACCCACTGCCACCTTTTTTTCCATCCCTTAAACAAAATCCCAACTGTCAAATCCAAGAGAAAGGAGAAGGTGCTACAAAGCTGTTGCCATTCACCGCCTGTAGAATGAATCAGTAGGAAAAAATCCTCGCAGAGGAAGTTGCTTTTACTGCCACATTTCAGCTTTTCAGTTTTGCTTTATTACTTTTGCATTTTCACAAAGGCTTAAGAACCCGGAAAAGGCAAAAAGCTGTTACACACAAACATATTTAACTTGGAAAAACACAAATGATAGAATGGTGCTAAAAAACAGAGAAAGCTTCCTATTTGACTGTGATGATCAACAAGAGTTTTTACATTAAAAACAGATTTCTGAAATTAAAAGTGAAATATGCCATGACCAATACACAGCCACTGCTTTTTTAGAAGCAAATACAAAGAGACCTCTGGGGGCTGTACAAAGAAAGTCACTGGGGAAAAAAATATAAGAATAAATATGTTGGAAGATTATTTTTGTTAGTACTCTTAACTTAAAGCTAAATTTTCCTGCCTAAAAGACATTTGGTTTGTGTTTTGCCTATGTAAAACAACTACCCAGAGCCTGTGAAACACTTAACTTTGCATATTTTATGACAACCAAAGAGCTGAAGCTATGATTATAACATATCCCCATTCCTACATCCCTAAGGATGTCACAGTTACACCGCATATGCTTGTAATTCATCAAATAACGTTAAGAACATTCCATTCTAGGACTATTTTGCTGAATCTAAACTGGTGAAAATAAATCATTAGTAAACAACAAGCACAGAGTCAACTCAAACCTGCTGAACAATTTTATCTTCACTGATGCAGCATAGTCAACAAGAGTAGATTTAAACATGATCTTAGATGATTTTGCTTTGATAATTACTTCTTACAATATGCAACACATAGTGACTAGAGCTAAAATCCTCGTTATATCAAGTCAGAAGAGCTGCCCACACACTGGGTCATGCCTACATGGAAAGCTGATGAGGAGGCAGAGAAGAGCCATGGCACTCTGCAATAACTCTCCCATAAAGAAGGCGAGCTGAAAATGGTTATTTTGTAGTACATCTGCCTTAGAATTTATGCAGTGAAAAAAACCTTCCAATTGTAATGTTTTAATCCATAACAAAACGAAGCACCAAAGCTCTAGGCAAGCTACTTGATAATTTTTTTTTAAAGAAAATATGGATTGCATTTGTGTAGTAGCCAGTGCATCTTAAAAGACTTCTCTTAGTATTAAATGCCATACAGTAGTTCAAATTCCAAGTATATGAAATTAAATCTCAAAGGCTGCTGCGTGTTTGGTGAATGCTATACCTTTGCTCAGTATGATTCATCCTCAGTGTCCATAGTAGCCATGCCCAGGGTCACACACTTTTATGTGCCCTACCCTCAGCAGTTGCCTTCCATCCTTCAAGATACAGAGACTGAGCGCATCTCTTGGGTCTTCCACAGCACAGAGAACCAGGTTTGCTAAGGGAGCCATAGGTAACGGAGCTGCTACCTTTTTCCATTCTATAAGAAGCAACTGGCACCAACAGATTGTATGCTCTGTTGCACAACAGGAACAGTCCTGTTCTCCACTTTGTAACAGGCAGGAGATAAGGGATTGCTTGAGCTATGTTCTATCATCTCAAGCAGGCAGAAGGAACAGGAAGTGGCCAGGCAGCCTGCAAGTGGATCTTGCTGTCATATATAATTATATTACAATACGTGCTAAGTATGGGTTATAGAAGGCTAGCTTAAATACCCTTCACCCCTTAGAATGCCCCTGGTTTTGTGGTTTCAGGCCACAAAATAATTTGCCTTCATACACTGGCAAAATGCAACATATGCTGCCTACTGGCATATAAAATCTAGTAATATGTTTAACTCAGAAAGTGACCAGTAACTTAGAGTACAGAAAATATAAATAAATGAGAAGAAGAATGCACGTGAAAGTCATTATGATGAACTTAAGAGTGAATTGTATGAAAGATGCACTAGTACCATTTGAATATCATCAAGTATATTTTACATAAAATATGCCAATCATAACTTAGGTGAATGGCAATAGTTCACTAAAAGAATAATGAAGGTGATCACTATAGCTTAGAACCAATATTTCTGAAGTTTTGTGTTTGGTGTGGGGGTTGTTTTTTTGTGTGTGTTTGTTTGTTTGGTGGTGGGTTTTTTTTTAAACCCCACATATAATATCCCATTCCTTTTTTACTCATCTCACTAATCAGTTACAAAATAAAATGTGATAGAGTGTAATTCACTATAATAACCTATTATAATAGGATGATTCAGTGAAAAATGTAGCATTATCTCTTTCTACAGCAAGGGTTATGGTCACTGAATTATAAATACTACAGGCTACAGTTAATAACCAACTGAATAACAATAATAATGAAAAAACCCTGCTAAATGCAATTGCTCACACTATTGTTCAACATGCCTCCTGTTAGCAAATGTTCAGGATATGCATGTTTAAACCCGGATGGAACACCACAGTAACAAGGACTTCTAAGACTACTTAAGAGACTATAAATATTTAATTAATACAAGACTTTTTCCATTAGAACAAATTTTAATATAATTATACATTTAAAAGTGGAAAAATGAAAACAAGGTATAAATACATCTAACAGGAACAAGAATTGAAGCACATGCAAATTACAGCACTACAAACTGATTACTAATACTCCACAGCAAGTTTCTCTCACTAAAATTTAATCTTAAACAAGATCAACTATGCAGTATAAATAGGAGGTCAGCACACCAGTGAATCATTTTAGTACAAAATAATAAAATTAATAATGAGACTGAACAATACAATTCATAGAAGATCCCTGAAGAGAATTCCTACGGTGTATGCTTAAACATAAAGCAAAACTAACAAACCAAGAACCTTATCAAAATTGCAGAAGTTTTTATATGATATCTACTACGGTAAAGGAACTTATTTATAGCTGTAGAAAAGCCGTATCTGACAATCACAGATGTATCAGAAGGAAATTCAAAGGTCTCAAGTTCTGCAGAACCAGACAGAATTTGACTGATCTGTGATTATACATTCCCTGTGGAGGAAGGTAATTGTCCTGTGTACACTTCTGAATCATTTACATAAAATAACATTTTGTGGACACAGAGTCAGTTTTACCCAACTGATGCTCAGAATGCATCAGCTGTAAATTATTTCTACACAATACATCACCAGACTAGAGAACTGAGATGTGTTCATTTGGTCACCCACATGAGGACAGACATGGTTACAGCACTGTTACATGTGGGCTTCAGGAATAGAAGCCAGCTTTGCGGTAGCTCTTTGAGCTGAAGAACAGTTAAACATAAGAAGTGAAAATAAGAAATTTTCATGCATAAAATAGCAACTCCCCTTTCCCTCCCCCCACTTCTAGGAAGTGGGCAGTCCTAAAGAGAACAAAAGTAACAATTCCTCCACCCCCCTCAAAAGAACTATATAAAGGACAGTAAGGTGTTTCTGTGCCATACCTACATGATCAAAGAACTGTTACAATCCCTCTTCCACACTATCTCATTCTTTTAATTTCTCTAATGGAGCTGCATCCTGACCTAATTTCAAAGTCCTTTTTTTGCACAGATTAACATCATCTTGGCTGAACTTTAAAGGCCTATCTGCTTTTTGACCCTGTAAAAGAAAAGTGCACAGTCTGAAAACATGTCAGAGAGATACTGGTCTAACTATACTTTCCAGATTCAAGTATCATGCTTTTCAGTGCAACAGTGGAGATAAAATAGAAGTAAGAAAAATCTCCTCTCTGCAAAGGAAGGTTCCTGCAGCTTGTGTAGGTAAGCTTAAAACTACTACTTCTTTGTTTCACCTGACAAATTTGGGCATTGATACAAAAATGATCATTAGATTTTTTAAATGACTTAATTAAAAAAATCCTTTGTTAATTTAACTCAATTGTACTGAAAGAATTTACTGCACTTGGTTCAACAATCCATACGAGACTTTGTGTACACTAAAACGCAACAGCTATAAAAGCTGATTTGTAACTTGTTATGTATGGTCTACAGCATAATTTTTAAAGATGACTTTTACAACTTTCTGCTATCTTATCAACCTTGTGCCTGGGCTTTTCACTGTAGCGCTACACAGAATTCTCTCTGATATCCAAGTTCATCTGGTTACAGCTATTAAAAAAAAATAAATCAGTCTAAGTCTGAAATATTTTAATTTTCTCAATATGATTTTGTATGAGACAAAAGCTAACTACGATGTACTTCACTGAAATAGTATCTGTATGACAATAAAACCTTTCTTCAGTACAGGCCAGTAAGATGAAATGCCAGTTTTTATGCGTAGTCATTGTAAGAGCTTTGATATCTTATTTTTAGTTGGAAGCTAGGAAAAGATGGAAAACTGAACTTGGAAAGAATAAATATATTGCCATTTTCAACAACCATTTTATACGTTGAAAAATACAGACTGAATTATTTATGCAAAATGCATGTGCAAGATTAGAGCTCTGAATAAAGTAACATTAGATACAGACATCAGCAAAAAAATAGATGCATCTAGCCAGAATCCCGCATCACGCACAGTTTAATTTGTACTTAAGCGGAGATACTGGATACTCCTCTGCATTTTGGCAGTTAAAGTCATTCTTTGCACTTATTTTGCCTATTTAACTTAAAATAGCCTAGAAGTGGTTTCCAAAGTAGGTTACAAATGTTTCATAAGATTAAGAAATAAACTAAGAACACACAAATTATTATTACAGCCTAGCTTGAACCTTCTGTTTCCTAATTTATTTTGTTAGAGTCTATGCATGTCAAAGCTATGGGGTTTAACATCACGCAGCTTTTCTTCACAAAATCTCAGTGGAAGAGAGCACCCAAAAAGTAACCTTATGCAAACTCAAGATGGTAGCCCCAGAGAACAAACAGTAGTTAGTAACACTGTAAAGCTGGGGTGGGGGGTGGGGAGGGGGGGGGGGGGGAAGAACAGTTAAAATAAGGGAAATGAATAAAAGAGATGTTAGATGCACATTACAGAAGAATAATTCTTTTAATTCTGTTTCAGCTCTGATCATTCATTCAGGAAAAACCAGCATAAATGAGAAATTCAACATGTTTTCTTCAGCCATCACCAGCTACTACTGTAGCTCTACCAGTCATCTACTCTTGCCTATTTCCTGCTGGAAGTTTTGGAAATATTCTTGCTGCTTGGATATTTTCAAGGCAAGCACACACAAAAAGAACACAATACATTTACCTGGCAAACCTCGTCACTGCAAATTTACTTATATGTAGCACAATGCCATTTCTGGCTGCCTATTTTGCAAGAGGGTACCAATGGACTTATGACTGTGTAGCATGCAGAATAGCAAATCACCTTGGGACTCTTATTATGCATGTCAGTATGTATGTTACAATTATAATTTTATGCTCAATTGCTCTAAGTCAGTATGCAACACTGAAGAAAAACAGTGATGTACAATACTCTCAAGCAGTTAATGAAAACTTCTACAGATGTGTACTTGCAAAGTTTCGTCAGCCAAAATTTGCTAAATATTTGTGCATCATTATATGGCTTATTGTGCTCTGCATAACAATAATAGCTATAATACATAATGTCCAGGCAAGGACCAAGGAAGAATTTCACAGATGCTACAACATCAGGGTAGAAGCTGGTGAATTCGCTGCAATGATTGCAGCTTTTCTTGCCACTTCATGTTTTTTTGTATCTTTTGTGACAGTGGTGTTGTCATACTATTCTCTTACCAGACATCTGAATAAAATACAGAAAAATACGTGTATTGGAGAAAAACATCTAATTTACAGTACAGTGAAAAGAAACATTTTTGTCATCCAGATGATACTAACTGTCTGCTTTCTTCCGTATCATGTTTTTAGGCCAATTTTTTATGTACTGCTTACAAATAATGACTGCCCAAGGTTAAACTATTTAGTGGAAATTAAGAATTTCCTTACTTGTCTTGCTGCTGCTAAGAGTAGTTTAGATCCAGTTATAACCCTTCTGTTAGATAAAACGTTTAAGAAAAGTCTCTATGGCCTGTTTACAAAAGCCACACCACCGGAACACCACAAACGTAAAACTGGTATTTTCACTGAAGAGACTCTCAAAATGTGAGGGAATATGGAAAGGTTTCATTAGCATATAAGTAACAGTAAACTCATTTTGACTACCTATAACCAGACTTTGGTATGAAATGGTAACTATTTAAATAAAATTACAACAGATTACATGTATTTTTTCCAAATGATTTGCTTGCTATATCAACATTAGCCATAATAAATCCCATGTGTATATCCAAGTAATTTATACAGTGAACTGTGTAAACACCTTTATCCATGCAAAAAAGACAATGCAAAAGACATTTTATGTTTGACCTATGGACAGTGGAAGGCAGAAACTAGGCTGAAGTTGCTGACCCGGTGCTTTTTTATTATCAATAAAAGAGTCCCAGGATTTGGACACAGGTTTCCTTTACAAAAAAAGGGTGAACAAAACACAGATGTTTTCTCTGCAATTACTGAATCACATATCACAGGCCTAAAGAAGCGGGGACAGAAAGCTATGAAATACATTCAAGATTAACATGTATTTTTTGTTCATGAGTATTTAGATAGAAGGTTGATTCCTTGTTTCTTTTTTTTTGTTTCTTTTTTAATGGGGAATTTCAATAATCCTAGTTTAACCTTGTGAGGTCAATTCTACAGTTTAATTAGGAAGGCATAAATGCTTATTCTTTACAGGTATCTAAAATATATTCAATGATAAACATTAATGATTATTAACAGTATAAGAGCAGTGCAAAATAGGAGATTTTGTGGTTGGGTTCTAACTGTAGAAGTTAGAATGTTATGATGACTTAAGTGGAGATTTCAGTTACTTAGAATCATTTCTGTAGAAGATACTTAAGACTACATAATGGTCTTTTCCCTTGTACAATCTTTGCAACTGAGATCAAGAGTTCACAGAGTGGAAAAGTGTTATGAAATGTTAGATATTCTGAGAAATCCTACCACTCACCCAAAACTTCAAAATAGTGATGAGCAATTCTGTCTTCCCATCCCCACTACTGAGTTCTATAACACGTACACTAAACAGACCCAAATGTCAGGAAACACAAAATACGAGTTCGTCTCTAGGGGAGACCCCAGGACTTCATCTCATCTGACAGCTGCTTTGTATTTTGCAGAAGTTAAATGAAATTGCAAATGAAAAAGACAGAAAATCACAGGAATGTAGTCCTTCATTTAATACAATGTTACCCATAATAGAATTTAGTGATTCCCTCTTTCACAGGATACCCACGTGGTGTTTAGCATATGACTTACGGAAAAGCAGAGGTGGGGAGCTTCAGGGTCTAGACTGAATGAGGGAGTGCTCCTCAGAAAAACATGGCCAGATAGGACACCTTAATTCTACCCTGCTATTGGTTTCACAGCCTCAATAACATTTTAACAATTTAATTTGTTACAAAATCCTCACACAGCAGGTGGTGTTGGATCTCAATGATAGGTTCTAGAAAATACAGAAAAAGCATCAGTGGTTACTGACCGTTCTCAGAGAGCATAAAATAGGTTCCATACCAAAGTGAGAAGAGTAGAACGAAAGAAACATGCAACAAATTTCTTGGTTTGGATATTCAAAGATTGGAAACAGCACCTGGTCTTAAACAACAGCTTATATTCTGGTTATTTTTTACATAGTTACATAAACACTTACATAAACACACAAACACCTATGTACAAGCCCTACTCAGTTTCTAAAAGCAGAAGTATAGGAATCTTGAACTCTACTGGCAAAATCTGAAGTGCCTAACTACAAGTAGTTTAGGCAATTAACGATAGAAGTGGTAACTGACTGTGCTGTCACAATTCATGTGGTTAATTAAAGTTCTGTATAGTGCATAAATTAACATGCAAATCTATCCACAGATCAAGTCTCAGGTCACCTGGACCAACTGAGATTTGTGGATGCCACACAGCACAGTGTATAACACTCAGTCCTACTCTCTGGAAAAAGAAGGCAGAATCTGTATATTTTCCCCCCAGCAGTTTTATCTATTTGAATGATCACATGTTGGAAACAAATGTTCATATCTACTGAGATAAACCTGTAATAAAGATTTTGGATGTCTACAGTTAGCCAGCAAGTTTGCCCTGACTCTAGTTGCTTGCACACCTATCATCTTACTGATCACAGAAACATATAGAAGCACCCAATTTATACGGATATCATAGAACAAAGTTGGAGCATTTGGACCTAACTAAGGATAAAACCCCTGCAACTGTGATTAAATCACTCTTGTGTCTGTTACATTAAAACTTATTTTTCTAAGAGGAGCTCTGCAACTATGTAAAATACTACATAAGCATCTCAATATAGGCTAACTGCAGACTGACTGTAAAAGCTCTCAATATTTTACTGATGAAAAAAAAAACCATCCGGTTGAAGTTATTGCAAAAATGAACAGGTGAAAAAATCTGCAATAAACACTGAAGAAACACACTTTTTATAGAACACTGTCCTGCTTTATGAGTTATACAACACTTAAACAGTCTATTTCTTGAGCTGAATCACATTCTACTCCAAGTAACTAGCACAGAAGTCTTCTACCAAGATCAGCGTCAGTCTTAATAACAGGTAACTCAGTGGAACTGTCAAAACAAGACAAAGCAACTTTCTCGCATGCTGAGAATACAGCAACTTAAAATACTGATTGCTGATCAAAAGCGATTATCCTAAATGTACAGTGATACTTCAGGTACTCTACACCATGTTATCTGCCATAAGGAATGGAAATATTCAAGTTCATCTATTTATAACAAACCCACCACTTTCAGCTTTTAAAATCACAATTATTAAAATAATTCTATAGCCCAGAACTTAAAGAAGTTTAATGACCAGTGATATCCTTCACAATTAAAGAGGAGCAAAGGCATACTACTATTTTTTATCCTTCTTGAAGAGATTGCAGGCATAGAGCATATTTTGGTTACCTGTTTTCAGTTCCAATATATCTTGAGGCATGCATAATTGCCTGTAATAAATATGTTGTCGTATATAAAAGTAACTACTTTCAACTGTATTTATTTTAAGAGAAAAAATACTTTAAAGCAGATTTAACACAATTTGTTACTTTCTTATTCCTGAAGGTGACGTGAGGGAAAACACTATTTTGCAGGACAGAATATATAGCAAAGTGGAAATTTAGAATAAAGATATAAGCAATTTTTCTCCTAATTCTTTTTCCTGTTTCAAAGGTTCTCTCCCACTCATCAGTTTTTAATGACCATATTAATGAAACACTTTAATTACTGTCTAATACTGACAGCTCAAGAGAAAGTGACTTCAGTGACAACTGGTACTCAAAACTCTAGCAAGGGTTTTATGGAAAAAGACAAGCATCTCATTTCAGACACATATTACTCCCACTTCCTTTTTTTTTTTTCCCCTGTTCTCTCACATAAAGATAATTCTGTGTACAAACTACTGTGTAATAACATTTCATATTGGAAAAGGTCCCACTTCAATGTTGCTACTTTTGGTAGCCATCTTCTGCATATTTCTGACAGGTTCTGAAAGAATAAAAGTAACGGCTGTGTCCTATATTACTAGGATGGCAAAATAGGAATAAATGTTGTGGTAAGGGAAAAAGTTCCTGACATTTACATTTCTGATGCACAGCTGTCTTAGTCTTCCACCTTGCTGCATTACTGAATGAACAAAAGATTACGTCAACCAAAGGTAGAGCAAAGGTGCAATTGTCAACAATTGTAAAGCCTTTAAGCAATGCTGAAGGGGATCAAATGATATAGAGAGGCCCAAGAAGCATCTGGTTTCTCAGAGCAGTGAAGGAAATGAAGACAACAACAGGCTACATTGTGAAAGCTTTCATGTTTTGATTCTATCATCAGAAGTGAACCTGGGGCATACAGGAGTTTATCATAAGTTTCAGTCATAGTGCTCCAGAAGCTTTGGTAGATCTTGCCACAGAATTCAGCTGAAGTTTCTAGCACCAGAATTCAGCAAATTTCAGTATTCCTGTTTAAATCTCCTAATTAGTCAAGAGCTAAGGGAGCACAAAAGTGGCTAAAAGACACCCAATTCTTACACGGAGTATAAGACGCAAATTTTCTTGCATGTCAGGTAATGCTAAAACATTTTGCAGTTCAAAATAATATTCACAGAAAGCTTAAGAGGGTAAAAAAAAATAAAAATTGTATGACAATATCAGCATTACAGATCTGTGTTAACAGGTTGACGAGAAGCTCAACGTGAGCCACAAGTGTGTGCTTGCAGCCCAGAAAGCCAACCGTATCCTGGGCTGCATCAAAATGAGTGTGACCAGCAGGTCGAGGGAGGCGATCCTGCCCCTCCACTCCATTCTGGTGAGACCCCACCTGCAGTACTGCATTCAGTTCTGAGCTCCCAGCATAAGACAGACATCAACCTATTGGAGCAAGGCCAAAAGAGGGCCACAAAGATGATCAGAGGGCTGGAGGACCTCTCCTATGAAGACAGGCTGAGAGATTTGGGTTTGTTCAGCCTGAAGAAGAGCAGCCTTCCAGTTCCTAAGGAGGGCTTAAAAGAAAGCTGAAGAGGGACTTTTTACAAGGGCACGTAGTGATAGGACAAGGGGCTTTAGACTGACAGAGGGTAGATTTAGATTAGGTGTAATTAAGAAATTCTGCACCATGAGAGAGGTGAGGCACTGTCATAAGAAGGTTGTGGATTCCCATTCCTGGAAGTGTTCAAGGCCAGCTTGCATGAGGATTTGAGCAACCCAGTCTAGAGGGAGGTGTCCCTCCCCATGGCAGGCGGGTTGGAACTAGGTGATCTTTAAGGCCCCTTCCAACCCAAACCCTTCTATAATTAATTTACTTTCATCCATTCAGAGAATTCGGAAAGTGGTCATTTTGTCTACTTTCTTTCAAAGCAATGTCTACAGTGACATCTAGAGCTGGGACACTGCAGTTAGCTTAATATGTTCTACACCCAAATCCTATAGTTCTGCACTGCTCTTGACAAAATGAAACGCTGCTGGCTTACACTACTTTAAAGCAATACATGAAAAAATTCTTGCTCTCTCATGTACTTAAACAGGTTTATTTTTAAGGATGATATTTAACAAAGCCAGTGATTTCAGAGTTTTAAGAATCTGGATAAACTGCAAAACAAATTCTCACCTTACACTCAGTAAAATGGACCTCCCTTAGAGGCCCCTGAAGCTGAAATTTGCTTTTGTTCAAGAACACAGACCAACCAAAACAGGTGCAGCTTTCAGGAAGGCACAGCAACATAAAGATGATGTTAATTCTGAAATTCTCATATGGTATCAAAAAAGAACAATTAAAGGAACAAAATGAGACATTCTAACATCAATTAAGAAACTGTCTTTAGAATTTGCTGTAAGAAATTACTTTTAAAATACCAAGCTTACAAAAAAACAAACAACCTATTACATGGAATATTTTTCTTGATTTTAGAAAAAAAGGAAAAAGAGATTGGGAAAGGTCTGTAATGCCATGTATACAAGGCCAAAAGACTCCTTAAATTAAAATCACCAGTTCAGTGTCCATAGTCTCTTCTGTCACAGATTACCTGTAGAAATTCGAAGGACAGCTTACACTCTTTCAATCATCTCTATTCACTAAACCCCAAGATGCACTTCTCAAACAGCACCATCAGAGCTTGTTAGAATTCTTATTACTTCCAAGAGTGTTTGATTCACTTTGGATAAAAGGAAACTCTCACAGAAACAAGTGGGAATAACTATTGTTATTAACAAAGAACATATATATTCAAATTAAAGGGAGTCAAATCGACTTGGGTTAAAACTCCTAATTATTTACATTACAGTTACTTTGGAATAAGCTAGTTCCATGAATATCCATTGAAATAGTACAAAATTCACCAGATCAAAAAGAGTAAGTACGTACATTGTTCTTAAACACTGTATTTCTCCTCCCAAACTTGTTTGCATTAGAGAATTTTTCATAATAATAGCAAATGTTTAAGACTGCTTGCAAAAAGTAGACAATACTACCAAACTTGTAGCATTTAAGCATGTGTGTCTCTCTGAAATCTTAGTCTGGATGAAGACGACCATTATGCTATCAAATGATGCCATTAATCTACCAATGCCAGTTTGATTTATGCAATTAGTTTATATACACATTTTCCTAACAAGAAAAAAATTGAAGCAGATTTCATATGAATATTCAAAAACTAGAAATTAAATTGACTCTCAAAGTAAGTTGCAATCAAATGCATATGCAATCTGTAAATAAAGACCTCCTAAATGTTCTATACTGGTGGAATTAGCGATGGGCTTTAACCTTACATGACACGTTAGGAGTAAACACACCCGTAACAAATACAGCATCCTTTCCTAGAGCTTTTCCCTTCATCTAAATTACAGAAATTAAAATTCACTAGTTTGTACTATTGTGGCAAAGAAAAATGAAAGTATTTAAATCCCTTACCTTCACATCTCTGTGAATTATGTTATTATCATGACAGTAACGTAGAGCTTCCAATATCTGTCTCATATAATGACTGAAAAAACAAAGACATTATACGTGACAAACCTGCAGGAAAAATTACTATACACACATAACAAACTAAGTTTTAGGAGTCTAACTATATAAAACTAATCAACCAACCTAACCTAAAGATATACATAGTTCAGTAGAATGGAGTTTGTGTTTATAACAATGAATACGAATATGTGCTGAAGGAGGCAATCCTTGTCCTTGGGAGAATCCAGCTAGTGATACTGAAGCATCTTTCCCTAGGAACATAATTATATACTTGATCAAGTTGCCCAGGAAGGCTGTGGAATCTCCATCCTTGGAGGTTTTCTAGACGCCACTGGGCAAAATCTTGAGCAACATGATGCAAATGCAGTGTTGACCCTGCCTTGAGCAGGATGTTGAAATAGAGGCCTCTTGATGTCTTTTCCAACCTGGTTTCTATGATGCTAAAAAATCTAGAGAATCTCATGGGCTTTGAGCTCAATCACCATACCATGGGGACACTGGGCTTTGCTGTCCTTTTTGCCATTACATAGATTATTTGATTTTAATTCACCTCTTAAGTTAAAAGTTGAAGTGACCATAAACATAATTATACATATATAAAAGATGAGCAAAAGCATCTAGCAAGAGCAGTAAAATTCACACCTGTCAGGCAAGTCATCTAAAGGCATTGTCTGATAAATCTATAAGGCAAAGGATTAAGTACTGTTTGTGAAATACTATTTTATTCAATAACCCCATCCAAATATACAACTAAATGACAAAATGTGCCAGAAACTTACCTTTGTTATGCTAATTATTGCAATAAACATTCAGACTGTTGAAACATGATTATTTATAATATTCCAACTTTTAGCTACTATAGGATATTCCATTATTTTCCATTTATGTGTCCTGTGTGATTAATTAAATTTACAATACATACCTGGCTACAGCCTCGCTGTACACAAATCCAGCATCTGCTCTCTTCACAATTTCAAAACACAGATCTGCTCCATCCATACTGCAGGTAAAAAGGGAAAAGTGCTTAAGACAGATAACTACAACCAATTATGTAAAAAAGGCTCAAAAAAATCTGTTTACTGCAGTTACATAAAATACTCTGGATACACGTGCAATGCATTAATAACGAAAAAAGCATTTAATAGGCAATCTAATACAATATGGCTTGCCACAGGTTAACTGTTTTATGGTCCTCATGTCATAAAACTGTACAATGTGCTGCACTATGCACGGTACTATATAGCAGCAACAGGGTCAGGTTCAATGAGAACAACATAAGTCTGGATTTAGATAGCTCACTGGGAAAAAACCCTCATGTTAATCTCCCTTTCAGTGCTTCCTCCCAACAATTTATTTCTGCTAGATGGGAAAGAAAGCTGAAACCAGAGCTCCACACCAAGTGCTGTAGAACATACAAATGTATGTTTGACAACCAAAAATTAGGAGGTGTCATTCTCATGAAGCAGCAGAACTCTTTAGAAGACTAATTTCACTGAGTCGTTATAATATACAGATGAATAAAGATCCAGAGGCACTCAAGATTTTCAGCAGTATCAATAGTTGCTAAGACACTGAGCCAAGTCTGTCATTTACACTAACTTTTCCACCAAACTGTTTATAATCAGAATAGTCTTTAACATGCATTTCTCCCACTTAAACATACCAGCATTTTTAATTTAAATTTTGTAACAGTAAGTGGCAGTTTGATTTTTTTTGCAAATATTTTAAAATTAGTTTAAATTATGTTGATATTAAAAACCTAGAGCTTTTATATTGACATTAAAAGCTTAATGCTACAAACTGTGAGCAGTAATGTGTGAGAGTTTTATTTCATTAAGATGAACTCTGTTGATCTGAAAAATCACAAAAATGTGGCAGATATGTTAGTCTCTGACTTCAACGACTTTTTCAAGACAGCTTTAGTTTAAGAGTAGATTTTAATTTGTGTATAATCAGGACTTAAATCATCCCAATGATATTGAATTTACCTGAAAACTTTTATCTAGCTGAGATTTTGTTCTGATTTCAGCAGGAAAAGCAAGAGTTAGCCTCAGTTTTAAGAAACCCCAGAGAGTTCAGTGCACTGAGTTCAGAGTAAAAATTCAGCAGTATCACAACCACATAAAAGATGAGTTTGCAAAACCTGAAAGCCCTGGAAGTGTTCAAGACCAGGCTGGATGGGGCCTTGAGCAACCTGGTCTAGTAGATGTTCCATGGCAGGGGGGCTGGAGCTAGATGATCTTTAAGGTCCCTTCCAGCCCAAGCCGTTCTGTGATTCTATGATTCTATGATGTAAGAGCATTAAAGATTTGAGATAGATCAGGCAGTCTCAAGGTTTTGTGGAGCCTGTCAGCTTTAGGCAAGTGAAAACACAAAAATAAAAGAGTTACATTAAAATCCACTAAAGTAAACTATAAAAATGTTGAAAACAAAAAACGCTGGTAAAAATACAGAACACTCATAATTTGAGAGAATCATCTCATACCAGCAGAGGGCACTCACGGAAGCCACATAAACTGACTGGGACGGTTTACGCTATTGGCAACACGGGAAGTGGCAAAACACCTCTGAACAGGAAATTCACAGCCACCACCACCCCATCTGAGTTGTTTGGGTATTACTAGGAGCTATGTCCCCCAATTTCCCATATTCTAGTATTGTTTTTTCCATAATTTTAGTAGAACTGTGTCTGGATCTTGGGCTTTTAGATAAATGTTTCTTTATATATAGCCCTGATCAGTGCTACTGAGCACCCTGATAATCATTCTATGATTCTTCATAAAGCTGATGATAAGTTGCCATCTCCTCAGAAAGTTTACTTCTGAGCCATATTCAGTGCAGAAATCTGTTCTGAGCATAACAGTCACTCTGAAGAATAAAAAGTATACTCCAGAAGAGGTCTACATTTTAATACCAGGGTATGAGAGCTTTGAATTTGCAGATGACCTATTAAGATGTTACCTACAACTTCATCTATTTATGAAGAATAAGAAAGTACTACGTAAGAGAACTGAATTATTATAAAAAAAAAAAAAAAGACTATGCACGTTACTCATAACTGAGTTTACTGATCTTTGTGCATCATAGATGTTCATAGAATCATAGAATGGTTAGGGTTGAAAAGGACCTAGTTCTAACTCCCAAAGGTGAAAGACTAAAGTTTGTGCATGACAGCATTTTCTCCCTCACTTGGACAGTTTTTATACGCTTGCTATATTCACTTACTACAAATAAACTGTCATAAATTAATGTAAAAAATATAGTATTTATTTTTTCTCAGAGCCCTACATAGTAACCTCTGAAAATTTATACCAAAAAGTACAGAAACTATTGCTTCCTATACATAGCTCATTCTTCTGGGGAGCAGCTGGACTGCATGCGGGAAACATCACTTGACATAGCCATATACTCTCTCATTTATGATGTAATAACATCTAAATACTTTTAAAATAATAACTTTACTTTAGGAATAAGACTTTCCAGCACAGCATCTACTTCCTACTCTACACATGAGCTTCTTCTATTATAACTAACTGCTTCTACCATATGGCTAATTGCAACCTACTGGAAACATGACACAATAGTCCCATTCTAAACCCTGCTTGAATCTGTGTATAAAATACTCGTTAAAAACATAGCCATTTTTTTTGTGTTAAATGTCATTGCTACTGCTCATGTTCATCAGCGCTTCTAAGAATTGTGACCTGATTTTTTAAATGTTTATTTAAAAAAAAGAAATTCAAAATTGTGCACAGATTGTGTTTTCTCCTGAGAGGTACAATCTCTCGTTATCAGATATATGCTGCATTTGCTTATTTAACTTGTGCTTGTTTGTAACAATAGATTTCGCCAGATATTCAGGGTCACAGTAGCAGCTGTTGCATGTAGCTTACAGCTTATGAAAAAGTAGTGGACCTATGTATCACTTGTGTACAACTGAGTACAAAGTTTTAGGTTTGGTTATTCTGTACATTTCATGTGCTGGACCTGCATTCGTTTCCATGCAAAGCACCTGCTGGCCCATTAATATTCTGTCACCAGCTGGGCTTACAGCTCTTTGCAGATCTGTACTGTCTTCCCTTTTTCTGTCATTTCAGAATAAATAGACCCTAATAAAATACACTTTATTACTGACAACTTTGTTTCAAAGCAGTTAAATTTGTTATAATAACAGCATAACAAACAGAAAACAGTATGTGGAAAAGTAAGTTACCTAAAATACAGAGACGCTTTCCTACTAAATACAAGTTTGTTATTATGCCACTAACCCAACTAAACTCAGACAATGCAGTCTTAATCCACAGCAAACACTGGTCTTCTGTTGAATCACTTTACCAAAGCATCCCCTCAAGCATAACACATTGTGCCCACAACTCTTCCATTCCCTGCTGCATTCTGAGAACAGGTGCTCCTCCTGTCTCATTTTCTTTCACTGTTTGTTACAAAAGAATAATGTTTTGTAGTGTACAAGACAGACAAGAACTATGAAATGGTAAAGAATTATGATCCTTCACATCATTTAGCCTCATTTTTCCTTCTTTCATGTAGCCTGAAGTCAGGTACAGTGTTTGTGTAGTAATGCTAATTGTTCAGACTTACTTTTTATGTATACAAACATAAATGATAATAGGCCTGTCATTAAAAAATAATTACTGCTTTTGTCACATATTTCTGAACTACCAGCATGGTGAAAATAGAAGCAAACCCTTTCTTCCATTTCAAAATCTTGTTAATTATCACGGTATGTCTCCCCAAGGTGTACATAATTATTTCATAATAGGATAATTAAAGTTCCTTGGTCCACGCTCTGGGATTCACAAAATAAAGACCAAAGTATTGAATAAAACTTACAGAAAGGAAAGCATAAACCAGTTATTTCACACAAACACAAGTTTATAAATTCATCAAAAAGGACACTGACTTTCAAGCAACAGTTTTCAGCTTTACATCATTTGTTTTGCTATTACCACCTAAATGTTTCTCTACCTGAATGGTAAAAAAGATGTGAGAATTACTGAGTGCACATCTCAAGACAAATTCTTGGGTCTAGTGGACATGCTAAATAGACCTAACACACTGGCATGATGTGGCTTGCTTCAACATAAGCAGGACAAATGTATCAGAAAACATTATGCAGAAAGATCAGAGAAATTAAAGAGGTTTAAGCACACATGCCCAGGCACACTAGAAACACATATATGGGGAACATAAAAAGAAGAGCTCATAGGTACAGAACAGAAGGAAGATCAAATATGGAAAATGCACAAATTAGCATTCTGCATGTTTGTTTTTGTCCTTCCCAGTCACCTAACACCTAACTGAAGGAGGGCAGATAATTTTCCCTGAAAGAAAGAATGTGCCAATTTAGGGGCTGCCCTCCCTTTTGTTTCTCATTGTCTATTAAAAATACTTGTCCACTGCTGAAAACTCATGTTTTGTCCACCCTTCCTTATGCCGATGGTAACTAAACTGCTACATTCAAGCTTCCAAAACTTATCTTTTAGTCAAATGACTGTTTACATATGATGTGAACAGATACACTGATTCACAAGAATACTTAAATACTCCAATAAGCTTTCTTTTCTTATCTAGTAAATGGAAAAGCAGTGCTAAAGAAACAACAATCTGGAAAAAAACAACCCACCACAACAACCAAATAAAACTTCACAATTGGAATAGAATGCCATCAGTTACCCAAAGATGAAAACTATCAGCAGATTTTTAACTTGTTCTCATGTACCCTATTAGGGACACAGCAGCCATCAACAAACCCTGTCCTTAGAAAGCATGCTATAAAGAATCAGCCTGACATTAGTCACTTACTCACTGTGACAACTTGTTTTTATTTGGAACAACCTGTACTTGCCAGAAATAAATATTTGATAGCACTCAAGACTTCAGTCACGAAACAAGCAGGTGAAATCAGACATACTTTTAGAATTTTATTTAGGAAATAACAACAAAGAAAGGTAAAAATCAACGACAGAAACTTACAACTCAAAGACCATATAAAGCATTCCATCTGAGCTGTATGTCTCCAATAGTTCAACAATATGAGGATGCTTCAGCATGTGACAAATACTGGCTTCTCTCTTCAGATCTGTGGAAGATAATAAGGTAGCATATTAACTATATATTCAAGCTGATGAATTAAAAAACCCAGAAACAATCAGAACATGGTGTTAGGAAAGATGTAAGATCCTTGCCAACCCTAACTGTTCTATGATTCTATGTACACATCTGAAATTATGAAGATTAAAGAGTTTATTAGAAAAGAACACTGATGATATTTAACTATTCCCCTTCAGAACTTCAACTTCATTTCAAACTTAAAAACTTCCATAGACCTCCAAATACAAACACACAAAACTTAATAGGTTTTCTTGATTTGAACTATTAACAAAGGATCTCCTTGGTCATAATCTGAAGAATTGTACAGTAATAAATTCCTTTAGCGCACATATGCAGATTACACCAAGATTTTAATCTTAAACATACATCATTGTGAAATTATCTCCAAATATCAAGACAGGCTTTTTCACCTCACTTACAGAACTATTAAAACCTGGAGGTCTCTAGTCTGATATCTCTGCTCAAAGCAAGATTAACTACAGCAGGTTGCCCAGAACTGCATTCAGTTGGGTTTTGAACACTTCCAAGAATGGAGACTCTACAACCTGTCCAGGAAATCTACACGAGTATCTGATTACCCTCCTAAATAAAAAAGTTTTTTTCTTATGTCTAAAGTTCTTCAAGATTACTTCTTTAATAGTGATTTCTTTTTTTTTTTTAATCACAAATATGAAATTACACTGGCATAAATTTTAACCAGTATATATTATCTTGCAGCTCTGCTCTACATAAGAGGGAGTAAAGCAGAAACGGTTCTGAATAAAGAGCAGAAACCACTGTGACATCTTTCAAAGCTTAAGAGATTATAACAATGCTCTTTACTTTTTCTGATCACAGATCAATCCTTCTGCTAGTATAGAAATGCAGAAAAAACAAACTTTGATGAATCAATTTTCTTTCTTCTTTGTTTAAACCGCTTGGTATTTTTGCTATTTAATCATCCTTAAACTTTTTTTTTTCTTTTCCCTTTCAATTTCCCACTAATATTTAGAGGAAGAGCAAAATCCTGAATGAATAACCATGATGATAATTTGAGAAGAGAGGAAACATATTACTACATTAATTTTGAAACAGACATTTTTACTTTTCTATTCTTTTTCCATACAGGGGATTAGCTCAAGAATGGCCTACATACGTACATATGGGAAAACATAAATATGGTTTCTTCATCTGGGAATGGTTACCATTGTGTTGCTGTGCTACATAGAAATTTGTAATGCACTGTTTTCATATGTGCCTTACTACATTTCTAACATGAATCAATAACATTCAAATATTTGAGCAGCAATATGAACATTCTTTCATGTGAAGCATTTAACAGCTTACTAAGATTTATGCTAGACTTTTGCTCTTTTAGTCATCTATAAATTCAACAGAATGATCAGAAACTGGAGATGACTGAATTTTCGGGAAAAAACGGATTCAGAAAGTGCAAATTTTGTTACTAGAACTTTCACATTACAGTTGCATTATGTGCTACTTCTCTCACATCCTTGGAAATATAATCTAAAAGCAAAATGAGCAGAGCAACCCCTTCAAAACCATTATGTAATGTCCTTTTGGGAAGTGCAAACAGAGCAGCAAAAAGAAGCAAGGAACTGTCTTTCTCTGATGCCGATGAAATTTAAATAAAGACATCAACATAAAATTTGTCGTTTATACAGAGATGAAATTCTATCAAGAAATAAAACAGTAATATGTCTTTCACTGTTCAAAATACTGGCATATCAGTTTTTATACCACCTTCATGAAGAGTAACTACTAAAACCACATTCCAACATTCCCTTCCATCACACTTTCGCATTGATTTCACACTAAATGATTACCACCTCTTTTCTAGGTAGTGAGGTTCTCTTTGTCTTTCACTGAAGTACACATTCAGGGTTTCCTAAGTGGAATCACAGGTAAGCATAACAACAGATAGCATAAGGGAACAGAAAACTTCAGGATTCTGTGAATGATGACAGACTTCAGAGAATACCTTGCTTTTGTCTCTTATTGTATAACAGCTTTAATGTTATCACACCTCACCATGGTATCTGATACCTATTTTAGATGGAAAGCAAAGTGAAAGTCCAATAGGAAACTACAGAAAAACTGTTTTATTTAAAGCAAAAATTGTAAAATTGTAAAAATTGTGTTCAAAATAGCTGATTTTGGCCATTTATTAATTTCTTGTGGACCTTATTTATATTTTGAAGAGAAGTAGAACTGTGAGGAAGAAAACATATGCTGCCATTTACCTTGTTCCTTCGTGTAATACTGTATGAGTGAAACAATTACTCAAGTCTACGTGCCAGCAGCAGAGGAAGGAGAAATGGAAAGTGGGAAATGATAACTCTAAACAGGGAAAAAAACAAATAAACAGAAATCACACAAAAGGTTTTGTATGACTAAGAGGTCTTGGGGCCAAGAGAAGAACAAAGTCCTATTTTAAAAACAGCAGGGACTTTCTAGAGTAGACCTATTAAGGAAGAAGAAAACTAGGTTTAGAAAGACAGACAAGTACATACCACATTGATTCAATGAAGCCACAGGGTAGGAAAGAGATGACGGAGCCTGAAGTCCATTTGGACTGTGACCCAAGTGTCAAAATATGTCATATTTAAGACCAGTAAAAAGGAAAGGGGAGGGTTGAGAACAGGCAGATGGCACTTACATTTAATTGTTTTCACTTAAAAAATGACATCATGTACTCAGTCCTTTATCAAATGCTTTTACCAGACTGAATGGAATTTTACCTTGTCACATTCCTCAAGAGTTAAATAAAATCCCCGGTGCCTATAGATACTGTTCCAGTTCTGAATACAACACAAAACCAAAGAGATGCTTGGCTGCAAGCAGGTGACTGAAGATTTCCTAAGAATAATCCCACTATTATCTTGTGACCCATTGTAATACCTGTAACTTATCACGTTGAATATAAAATTGTATGAACTATTTGCTACCTCCTGTTAAGTTTTCTAAACCCGTGCTCAGTATTTCAGCCAAGTTGTGTAATAATAAAGGTCCCACACATCCCATATGAGAATAAGCCTTTCATATTCAAAACACCTAAAAGGGCTTCATGATAACTCTAGAATCTGCTAATAAAGTAAGTTGTCTTTAAAAGTTAGCTTCAAGCAGCAAGTGATAAGTTGTACCATTTATTAATAGCTATGTATCTCCATTTAGAATGGTCTCCTTTGCTAAGAAACAAAATTTACCCAAGAGGACATACCCTAAGGCAAGACAACATCTCAGAAAACTAAACTAACGCGTCATACTTCACTTCCTGGACTAATTTACTTTATATTGGAATCCTTTTTGAACACTTCATTTATTCATGCTTCTTTTGTTGATATGGCTGAAGAAATGGCTTTCTGGTCCATACTTTAAGCCTCCTCTGTCAGCACTTCTTTCAAAATGAAACATTAATGACAACAGCAATAAATAGAAGACCAAGGCTTAAGAGCACAAGCCTTAAAAGTTTCTCTGCTGACTGCATGAAAGGTATTGTTACAGAAGCAGAAATAGGAAGAAAAATTAGGTGTTTCATTTAGGTTGCTTAGCACATAGTTTGATAATTTACATCACAATTTGAAAACCATTTAAAAGCTCTCACTTTACACCACTGTTACCAATAAATATTTTGGAATTTCAGTCTGTTCACAAAACTTTGAGGTATTTTTAGCAACTGGAAACAATAAAGTCTCCATTTTATACATAGCTAATTATTTAGAGAGAGTCACTGAAGTTGTTGAAAATGCATGAAAGTTCAAGACTTCTGTAACAAATGGGAAAGTATAAGATGGAAAAGAAAATTCCCAGTGATAATTGCCCCACAGAGAAAATGCAATCCTGTGTTTAGATAGCTACACTGAAAATGTTGCTGGAAGCACTAAAAAGGTAACTGCTGTAAGTAACTGTAGAGAAAGATATACCAATCTTTGACAGAAAATATAACACATTAGCATCATTTAAAATTCCCTTGGGAATTAACTATCAAATATCCTACACATCTCAGACAATACTGGCAAACACCTAATTTCCTTTCAAAATCTGATACCCAAGGTTTTAAAACATCTCAAGCATACTGAGCATATTTTGAAAGTATGCTCTTGCTATCCGACAGCATGGAAGAATTAGGTGCTGTCTAACAGCCTGGGTTATAGCACCATTTTAACATCTTGAAGCTGACATGCAGAAACTGTAGTAGCCACATCTTTTTTGGGGAAGGATGGTATCAAGTTAGCAAGATGGAAGATGTGTCATTTTTAAATATACAGCATTCTGATTCTCCAGGGTCAGTCCCTTAAAGGATCAGTTCTCCAGCCGCAGCTTGGGTATAACAGCCTTTCTCATGCTCAACTTCACCCATTCTCTGCAGACTCCTCTACCCCAACTCTGAATGGTGCAGGGGGTGGGGGTCAGTACATGGTGGTTCCTCTCTGCTGTTCCTTCCTTCTCACACTTTCTGCTGCTCCAAAATGGGTCCTCCACAGCCTGCAGAGGATATCTGCTCTGACACAGCAAACCTCCTTCCCTGATCTTGATATTCCCCTCTTTTTGTTCCAGATTCCCCATGCCTCATTCCAGTGTTCAATACCCTTCCTCAAATGTATCTTCCCAGAAGTGCCACACATATGTCTGAGGGGTTCAGTTCTGGTCCACTGGAGCTGTCTGGAACTAGCTGTATCCAGGCACAGGGCAGCTGTGAGCGTCTTCTCATAGAAACTATCCCTGCAGCTTCTCATGGCTCAAAACTTGTAACTTACATTTAATACGGGTTTGCTCCATTTCCAAGTAGCCAAGACTGCACTAGACACCATGCTTTAAAGGGTTCCAAACGAGTCAACTACCTCCAAGCTGAGCACACAGCTATACATCTCTGCCTCAAGACAGCACATAACAAGCACATGACACCCTTCACAACAGCAAACTGCAGTTTGAAGAATCGTACTGCACCTGACGTCACACTTCCAAAAC